TTCAAAATATAATATATAGAGAGGTAAAAATAAATTTTGCCTTTATTTGTACAATGTAATTTTAATACGAATGAACCCGCCGCAAAATACTGCATTCGCCTCTGCTTATATGATGTGAATACAGAATAGTTGAAGTTTTAATACGAATATCGAACATCATGTGAGAAACCAAAAAAAATATAATAATATCTTGTCTTGTATATATTAGTAAGTAAAAGAGGGAAAGAAACTTGTCTTCTCTTGATTTTCTTTAGTAATGAGAAACCAAAAGAAGCACGAATATTCTTTTCCCTCAATCCATGAAAGAAACTTCACTTTTTAGTTTTTTTCAACAATCAATCATTTCCCTTTCCTTTTAAGTTTCTTCTTTTATCTTCTTTTCCATTCTGAAAAAAGTTATGCAAGAATATGGATTGATTGCTGCATTTCCAAACACTCGATCCCCACATAAATGGGCGAGAAAGAAATAGACCGGAGCCAGGATTTGAAGTTTAAAGATATTGGATTATCACTTAACTCATAGTTTGTTTTAGTTAATGTATTCATAATTAAATATTTATACATATTTAATAAAATTTCTAATGTAAATATAGAGTTCAAACAAAAGTTATTATATTCGTCCAAAGCTGTAACTAATATGTGTACAGAGGTGATGGAGTGTATATCATTTATGCGTTCAATTGAACATAGTGGAGTATTTTTTATATGAGTGTATAAAATAGTGATATCTAAATAAATATTAAATTCTAAAAGTTTAATTAGTTCAATACTAAAAATTAACCTAAGTATTAACTAAACAAATTTAAATCTTGAATCCTAACTAAGCAACCAAACCTTAGTGTAACTTGAGATAAAAGAAAAATCTATATCTATATCTATATCTATATTATTATAAAAGCATGAATACGATGTCGGATTACAAAAATAACCTTAGAATATTAAGAATAATAACTCATAAAAAAAGGATATAACCGGAATTCTAGATATTAGTCTTATAATCCTATTAGTTTTAGGACATAATACTACACATTATGAATCCTACATGATTGCCTTTAGGAATGCTCTTAGTATAATTACTTTCGGGCATAGCCATATAATATTACACGTTGTACATACATCTCAACATCTTTTATGTTTTGTTTAACAATTTAAGTACAAAAAAATCTAAAAGGAGCGTGTATAGCAAGCTTCAAACAATTGTGGGACTTACATGTCGTTTATAAAAAAAAAAAAAAGAACTTTCGAATAGTATTTTAAAAAATCCATTTATCATAAAACGACTAAAATGTCAAGTTTAAAGTGGTAATATATTCATACTTCACTTCAAAGTCCTTAATATTAAGTTATTTCTAACTTAATTTGTGATAGACTACAACATTTTGCCATTGTTCAAAATTTACGCACAAAAAATAATTGAGGCCATTAGCAAAACGGTTTCATTCTAGAATTATAATTTCAATTAATGTTGGGGCATTTGCATCTATACCCGTTTTTTGTGCCACATTTTAACTTGTGCCCGCTTTGCAAAAAAAATTGCAAGTGTACCCGCTTTTTCACATAACTTCAGCCCACGGGGCTGAAGTTTTTCTTTTGTACTGGAAAACTTCAGCTGAAGTTTTTGTCTTTGTAACCGGAAAACTTAAGCTCTAGAGCTTAAGTTTT